TCGAATCGCAGCCCAGTGCATTGCTGTATCCCTTATAATCATTAGACTTGGATTTCTCGGATGTTTATACCAATGAAGTGGGGAATACAGAGCTTGAGATACGATAGGTCAGCCTATGCATGAAGATATGGACAAATATATGTAGATCTACTTACTTGATCCTGGCATTTGTTCTAGTTCAATTTTATCTTGATACGTCGGTATTTCAATTAAATTCTTCTCAAAATATATTATCATCTCTTCGATTGGTGCTTTCAACAAAAAGCGCATATTACCTTCGAATCCTTTTATGTTCAATAGTTGACATCATTTTTTTGGCAAACTCATGAGTGTCGTTTCACTGTTCCACGGTCGATTGACATATAGTTGTTGTTTATTAATGTCAATGTAGACATTAGTTTCTTGTACAAATTTTCCATTATAAAATAATTGTAATCTATCCGATTCGATAAAATCTAACTTTTCTTGAATTGTTTTGTCTATGGATTTAATAAAATCAGAATGAACTTTCAATTTCTTCAGCCAGTCTTTCATATATGCTAAAATTTGAATCAGTCGCATTCGGAAATGTCTTGCATAGGATGATTTGTCGTCATTTAGGATTAGATCATTCATTCGGATTTGTTTCACATGTATTAACTGTAATAGGGTACTCAGTTTTGGGTGATTTCTATTTCAAAAATCAAATTTAACACATGGAATTGTATCGTTCAGGCTGCTGTTTTCACCACCACCTTTCATGTAAACAAACAATTCACTAGCTAAATTCCATTGATTGCTTTCACTTAAAAAAAAATAGATTTTTCGATTGTTCACGTACACATTGCTGTTCGAGTGATGACCAAGATGAAATAGTCTCCAACAGATGAGAATATATTTTTTGTATGTAATCTTGATTGCTTTCCAAACACTTCTCATCTTCAGGAGTTTTTCTCAGTAGAAAAAAATAATCTTTGGGCCAAAGTTTTGTTTTAAAATGGAAAAACGAATGCTATTCGGTCATTTCTGGTTTAAGTGGGATTACAGCAATTGGCAGATATTTACTACATAGCTGCTTCATGTCGCTCGTACGAAGAAATATGTTTGTTGATGAATAACACGTGTGTAAACTACTATCGGCGCCAGAATTCAAGGCAGTTGGATGTGTTTTGAATAACTTTTAATAGAAACAAGATAGAGAACTGCCGTTTTCAGCGTTTGATAGTCAAGACCCAGGAGCATATTTTCATAAGCAAAATCTTTTCTGAGAAAAAATTCGAAGATCGGTTTTTTAGAAGATTTCTGAAAACTGCCATAACAGTCTATTGGTTTTTTTTACATATTCAGAATCAGCATCAAACATTGAGTCGAATCACGTATGTTTTGAATCTTTTCACAAACTTTTTTTTTCATCGAAAAGTTCACCCCTGATCCTCCTGAGAAGTAGATCAAAAAATAAAGTGAGTCAGAAAGTCATTTGGACAACGGAAAGCAAGTTTGGAGCTTCTAAAACGCTAGTCGAACATAAAATGGCAAATGAATAAACAATAAAAACGGAGTCTTGACTGACTTCATTTTTTGACCTACCCCTCATGAATTTTTCAACGAAAAAAAAAAGTTCGTGAAAAGATTCGAAACATACATAATTCGACTCAGTTTTCGATGCTAATTCTGAATATATGAAAACATCAATAGACTGCTATGGCAGTTTTCAGAAATCCAGTGTGGTTTTCCAGAAATCCTCTAAAAAACCGATCTTCGAATTTTTTCTCAGAAAAGATTTTGCTTATGAAAATATGCTCCTGGTTCTTGACTATCAAACGCTGGAAATCGCAGGTCTCTATCTTGTTTCTATTACAACTGCAGCAGAGTATTGGCAGCGATTATTTTTCATCTTTAGTGTGATGAGCGCCTGTGTGAAAAGCTGATAACGTATATGAGAAAGATACAGAAAAACTCGAGGTCGCCGTATTACCTTGTAATGCTATAGTCAGATATTCTACCCCAATGCCTTCGATTTCATTCCAACTTAGGTCGACACTACCGAGTGTCTATGTTGAGCAAAGAAGAGAAATATGAGAGATACACAAAAAAAAACATAGTTAATCACTTTATTATTTCTTAATGCTTCAGTCAGATTTTGTGCCTCTGTGTCTCCAATTTTATTGTACGAAATGTTCATTGTTGTGAATGTCTGTGTTAAGAAAAGAAGATACTTTCGAGAGAGATGAAACGAGACTATGATTCACCTTGTTTTCTACTAATACATCAGCCAGATGATGTACACGTTCGTCTTCGATTTCTTTATTTGAAAGGTTGAGTGTTGTGTGTGCCTGTTTTAGAACAAGACCATAGATATGAAAAAGATGAAGTGGTGAAGTAAGAGACCATATTGTTCGGTTGCAATGTATTAGTCAGATGTGTTGTGCTCCATTTTTTCTGATTTCATTATTTGTCAGCAGCAAGATGTGTACATGGTGTTGTGGTGTAGTTGTGAGTGATATCATATTCATCACCACACCCGCATGCACACTCTTGTCGTTGTGTACTTGAACATTCAGTAACGATCGTGCTTCACAAAAGTAAACAACAAGAAATGAGACAGCGAAACATCAGGAGATTTGGGTGTGAAGGTCGGTGTGGGTAATGAAGAGACAAACAGCAATATCCGTGCTCAAACCCATAATTAAACGGGTTCACTTTGTTCTCTATTTAGTAAGTCATTGCAAAAAAACTAATAAACTCAATGAAATCTTTTGAAACAATTTGAATAAAAGGATGATTCTTTCCTTTTGGGTAATAATTATTAGTTTAGAAGAATTAACGAATTATCAATATTTTAAAATCAGAAAAATAAAATAACCTCAATAATCATTCGTTTGACTGTATGATAACAGTGAAATTTACCTGATATCTATGATAAGTATCAGTGATTGCATTCAATCATGTACACCCATTACGAACCGAAAATATAATAGTAACTTCATCAAGATTGTCTAGGATGTGATAGACAAGCTCGACGGATAATCCCAGAAGAGATGATGTAACTTTATTAGCCATTAATGCCGCTTGTGTTCGAACAGCATGCGTCATTGTAATAAATGTCTGCTGCAATTTGTATTTCTTTACCTTTACATGTTTCTTGACAACATCTTACCAACCTTCATCATAGTTGTGCAATTTTTTACTCATACAGAGAACTGAAATAAGTGTAATGCAATCCATGAAACGATAAAGTAAATGTATTAAAGTAACCATATATATGCAAGTTTTTTTCACCACCATATGATATGAGACTTTTTCGAATGTTCTTGACATGTAAGCATGAGTGTGTGATGCTAGTGTGGGTGTGGATGAAGAGAAGACCCACGCCATACTAGGACCTCACCCATACACCCATGCTTCAATTCATACTCACACCCATTTTATGCAAAGTCTGAATGTGTCATTAGTGATCAACAGGCATTTATTTTCTAGAAAAATTTATCGAGCACATTGAAAGCAATCCTGAATAACAATAAATATTGGGTCATTTCGCATGATCGATGGATAATATTCTTAGTAAACGGTGCAAATAACTCGTTGATTGACCAAAACCACTATCGGTATCATCTAAAGCATGACCGAGCATGATAGTTAAATTGATGTGTTGAAGACATTCACGAGTATATTTCTCCTGTTCATCATTAATTCGTAGATTGTCCGAAGAAGAACTCTTTCGAATCAACCATATACATTTATTGTTGTCAAAATATATTTCATTGTTAGTGAAGGTCGATCCAAAGTAAAAAATGATTTCGTTTTCATCTGGTATATAGCTTTTATTCCATGGGATAAGACACAATAATAGCAATAACATATTCCCGTGATCGAACTTGCTTCACGTATTTAACACATTTCAATATATTTGAATAATAAACCACAAAAACATCTATTACTAAAACTATGTAATAGAATTTGATTATCATCATATGATGAACATAGGATATTTTCAAGCCAAATCGAAGTAATACCAGATCGATTCATTAATGACACTTTAACTCGTAATTAAATAAAACTGCAGTTATAGAATAATGTATAAAATAGCAACGAACAAAATTTTTTATTTTCGTTATAAATCAATAATGTTCTTCATTACAATTCTATAGTTCTTTATTGCATTTTCAATCGTATTTTACATTGTCGATGGAAAATACGTTCATCTGTTATTTGTTATTGTAGATGAATTTAATTTTGAAATGAAATAAGTTATGTGAAAATAATTTTAGTAGAAATTTCTGCTGTCCTAACCAATGTGATATGGAAAGAATGAGAGGAAATTTTGATGTTTAGTTTAGGTTCGTTTTCTAATCGAGTTCAGTCATAAATTATTGTTTTTTGGAATATTTTCGATGTTGAGGTGAGTTTTAAATCATTCGAACGATAAAGTTTGAATAACAAAAAAAAAGACAAAATTCATGTCTTTAACGAATACATTCGCTAATGTAGATATTCAACTGATCATTCAAAGGTAATTTTTATTAACGATGATTGATCAACAAAATTAAACGACGAAAATTTCGATGAATTTCAATTTGAAAATGATTTAATCATTATGGATTTTTCAAATAATCAAATCATTTTTTTATATTTTAATCTTCGTTTGTTCAATCAATTTGATATTCCTTATGTATTGAACGTGAATATTTTTATTTTCTATTAAACAAAATGAAAAAGGATATGACAAAATACCATATTTGTCATGCAGTTAGTCTGTAAAACAATAAGATGAATATAAAAATTTCTTATTGTATATTACGAAAAAAAGTGTGTTTATATTCATGCAAAGCATTCAATTAATTGACAGTATAGAGAACTTGTTTATGCAGTTAGACATGAGCGTCAGTAAAGTGCCTTGAGTGATCGATCGATTCTAGATATCAGAGAATTAGTATCAATGAATGAGAAATGCTTTTTATTGATGAAATTGACAAAACAAAACAAGCACAAAACATAAAAAGAGATAGTTCGTATAAGCATTTTCACTCTGTAAGACTAAGTTTTTTCTTCTTCGTTCCTGTAATTGTTTGTCTCAATTGATATCGAGCTTCTTCAGACAAACTACAGTGTTGGATTGCAAATTCCTTCAATGTTTTATTTCGTTCAAGTATTTGAGTGAGAGCTGCGAGTGATTCATCAGTAATCGATTTATTGAAGGATATATGCAATTTTTCAAGAGGTGAACACGATGAATCTCCATCAGTATCACCAAGTACATCGGCTAGTAGACGAACACTTTGATCTGTCATACCTGTATTAGGTAAGGCAAGAAAAGTGATTGATCGATTGGCTTTTAATAAACGAATCAAATGTTGAACACCAACATCTCCTATAGCTGTGTTATTAGAGAAGCTGAGATATTTTAACTTTTTCGGTGTCGCAAGTAGAGCATCGACAAGTATTTTTACACCAAGTGATGTCAATCCATTATCACGCAATAGGATTCCAGTACATTTTGTTTTCTTTTGCAAAGCTCGTTGTATAATCAATGGCATATCAGTATCAGTTAAATTCATTGCAGATAGATTCATAATACCCATGTTATCAAATTCATGATTTTCTGCTAATTTCTCTTCCAAAGATTCATTCTTTTGATATTCATGTTGTAAAAAGATGAACTGTTCTTCGAGTGTTACTTCGACGTTGTCTTCTGCTTGTTTTGGCTTTTGAGAATTGCTATCTTTGGTTTTTTTTGACTTTTGATTACTTTTTTTCTTGTCACGCTTTAAAAACAGATTAAAAATAGAAATATTTATGTCATCAATTGTTCAAGAATTTCAAAATTAGTTTCTTATTGTAAGAATGTATCAACTCTGTGGAGTCAAACTTTTCGATGAACAACACTTAAAAATTTATCCATATCGTAAAACAATAAGAAAATAATAATTTTTGCCATTCATTAGTATCATCTTAATTTCTCAAATGATTTTCTCGTGTATCCTCTCATAGAAAGAATGTCCTAAATTGAGGATTGTATCATCAATCTCGGGCAAAAAAAAAGAGCAAAGATAATATTTTTACCGGCAATTTTTGAAGATTTTTTTCAAGTTCATAATCATTATTTGGTCGTTCCGTTGTTAGCTCTTCTAATGCTGATGAATTACCACCATCACTTGATTTTCCATTAGATGATCTTGAAGAATGCTCAGATCCAGATCTATCTCGATTAGTTGGTGCCAATGATAGTCGATGTTTGCTTGTTCTATTTGAAACATAAGAAAGATGAATAAATCTCGCGAAATCAATTTAGAGTCTTAGCTATTTTATAATTCATAGAAACTTTAGACAATTTTAAAGACAAACATATTCAATGGACAAATCTTATATTCATTTGATGATTTACTACGTATAACTGCTTAATAACTTGCATATTTTCTGCTAATCTCTATGACCTCTTTTTACATTCTATGGGTATTTAAAAAAAAAAAAGAGTTGTCTAATGTTTTTTTTCCCATAATATTCATTCACTAAACAAACGATTTTTCAAGTTGAGAAAGATCATTATATTTTACCTGCTTTTTGTTTTTTCATCGGTACGTCCGGAATTTTTTGACGTTTTTCTTCTTGGCTTTATTTTTTTCTCGTCAGAATTTGAAACAATATCTTCATCATCTTTAGAAATAATGATTGTTTTTAAAAGAAGATCACTTGACGATTGAGTATTGCTGAAAGATTCCATGTTTCGTCTCTATTGTTGCTATTATTATGCTGGAAATATCCTGTTCAATGATGTATTTATATATTCTTGTCCGAAAACAGCGACAGATTGTTTTTGCCGATATAACGTGACTTACAAATCTTTTACCGACATTAATTAAAATATTTCTCTGCGTAAGATTACTCGTACATTATAGACGCAGACGATATTAATCAATAAGAATTATAATAGAAAAAGTAATTGTTACATTGAGTTAGTATTATTGTGTAAAAATAAATTATGCCGATCGGAAAATAAAAATTTTTCTTCGGACAAATGTATCCTATATGGAACATGTCTCGATCGGTATGTATTTAGGTACACGTCTATTAAATATACTAAAATTTAAATACGTCAGCAAAAATTTTGTTTTATGAAAACATGAATATAGATGTGGGTGTCAAATTTTTCTCTATGAACACCTACATTCTTTTTACAAAAAATTAAAAAAAAAATCTTTGTTATTTTTGTCGCTTTTTTACTTATATCTGTCGATCTCTTGTATTGATATTTGCAAATAGCACGGTTGATTATCTCTGACTGACTAGATTTCATAAGTCGTTTACATATTTAGCTTTGCATAATTCACATAATCTCAACTCAAAACTGATTTAGAATATATATTTATCTATATGTTTTTTTTTGCAAAGATATGACTTTAATATAAAGGATGACGCTATACTACAGTATTCTTTCTAACAAGAATGCAACAGATATTAGCAAAATATCGTTAAAATCAATTCTATATTAATAATATTTTACACATGTTGTTAATAATAGTTTTTCAAAATGAATTTCATCTATACAAATATTTGATTTATTGATTCATACATAATATGATCAATTTCATAAAAAAAAAATATTTTTCATATTAATTATTTCTATTCTTATAATTTGTGTCCTCTATATGAATATCATATGATTGGTTTGTTTTCTATATCCAAACATATGGTAAAGTAAGTAACTGTTAATACAATAGTACTATACACATGTCTTCTTTTTTTTTTTTTTTTTCTTATATACGAATATACTAAATTACCTAATCTATTCTAACTTTTTATTATACATAATCAATAATTAAAATGAAGTTTGTTATTGTTTTTTTTAAAGATTAAATGACATCTACTAATTCAACAGGTCGTAAATCTAAACGTGATGATTCAAAACGTTCATCTGCACCTATAACTATTGTTGTTAGTAGTGAACAACAAATAACAAAGGTTAATTTTTATTTCATTTAAATAAACTCTATGGTTTTTTTTTTGCATTTTTCAAGACAAAAAATGCTATTAAATCAAATGATGCTGTTGTATTAACTCAAACATCAAATACAATAAGTAATAATAATAATAATAAAAAACGACGAGCAACAGAAATAATTCAAAATGAAGTTTGTTTTTTGTTGAAATCAATTAAATAAATAATTCTTTAGTTTTTAGGTGCCTTTATCTGAACGTTTAAGTGCATTTGAAAGTCAAACATCAACTGGTCAATTAAATATAGAACAAAAACAACAAAATCTATCAGCTGATAGTCTTGTTACATTACTTACACAAGGTTTACAAAGTTCTGATACAACTTTACTTGATGTAAGTTAATTATGTTTATTCATAATTCTCATCTATTTTATTTTAAATGATATGAAACAATATACATCAAAATGATAGAATAAAAATATTTTGTATGTAACAAAAATTTTCGTTTTTTTTTTTTTTGAGTTCATTTAAATTGATGCTTGATCATTTGAAATTGATGTTGCTATTTCAATTGGTGATGAACGAATTTTTGGTAAACTATTTGGTTTTTTATGTGAATTTTCACTTGCTTGTCGTTTAATTTTTATTGTTGAATCAAAATCTTTTCCACCTTGATTTTTAATATATTCAAATACATCTCGTGAACCTGTTTCACGTGCACATTTAAGTGGTGTACGACCTTGATTATCTGTTGCATTAATATATGCACCACGATTAATAAGTAAACGTACAATTTCAATATCATTATGTGCACATGCAAAATGAAGTGGAGTCCAACCTGATGTATCTTTAATATTTAATTCAGCTTTATGTTTAATTAATAGACGAACAATATCTGAATGACCTATGTATACAAAACAAAAAAAAAAAAAAACAAAAGTTTTGTTTATTTTCTTTTTTTTAAATTTTAACTTACCAAGATCAACAGCACGATGAAGTGCAGTTGCACCATCTTTATTAGCAATATTTATATCGATATTATGTTTAATAAGTAATTCAATACATGATATTGCATGTATTTTAACAGCTTCATGTAAACATGTTTCACCTGTATTATCTAAATTATTAATAAAATTTTTTTGTATTTCATTATCAAATTTTGTAAGAGATGTTTCAATTAAATATTTTGCAACATTATATGCTTGACCAGCAATAGAATAAAAAAGAACATTATGTCCTTCATTATCTCGACTAAATAATTGTGCACCTGATTCAAGTAATAAACGACATATAGCCATATTACCATAAAAAGCAGCATACATTAATAATGTTGCTGCTTTATCAGCATCGGATAAATTTGATAAACATTTTTTTTGTTCTAATGATGAACATGAACGTAATTGTCGACTTAATTCTTCTGTATTATCCGTACATATTAATGTAAATAATTTATCAAATTTTGCTGATTGTGATTGACCCATAAAAAGTTTTATTTTAAAATATAAATCTAAAAAAAAAACAAAATGAAATCAGTTTCTTTTTCTTTTTTCTTTTATTATTTTCATTTCCTTATTATTGTTGTATCATTTGACCGTATGATGCATTTTACATATTTGTACATATATAGTTATACGCATGATTGATCGTTCGTTTGGTTTGGTTTTTTTTCTATATGATTCAAGAATATTCATATAGATACAGAGAAGAAGAAAAAAAAACCTAAATGAATATTATACATTATTATTTCTCTCTCATCATTTTCACATATTTGGTTATCTAATATTATATCTTTTATTTTAGCAAGTACTATCTTGTCGTAATGAAAAAGTTATTGAAAAAACAGTACGTGCACTTGCCATTCCAGTACTTTTACCATTAATTGATTGTTTAAATAAATATCTTTATCAAAGTGCTGACAAGTAAAAAAAAAGAATAAAAATAAAAATAAAAATAATATTCATATATTTTAGAGGTCTTATTGCATCAAAATGGTTACGAGCTGTATTGAGTACACATACATCATATCTGATGACAGTAGGTTAAAAGAAAAGGTTTTTATGAATAATTTTTTTTATTTTATTTTTTTCTTAGTGTCCTGATATAACAGAACGTCTTGGTCCAATGTATGAATTAATCGAAGCACGTACAAGACTTTATCCAAAATTAGCAAGACTTCATGGAAAATTATCACTTATTGCTTCACAAGTAAATAGAAAGAAGAGAGAGAGTAACCCATCATTTTATCTATTCAAATAATAAAAATTACATCGAAGTTTTAAGTGAGAATTTTTTCCTTCCTATAAGTAATAAATAAATTTTACTTAACATTGTCTATTGATAAAAAAAAAAGAAATAAACGATATGATTACATATTCCCTCAATGCACTTTTTAATAAGGTAATAATGAGAGAGAATATTTATCTTTTTTATGTATATGATAGATGGATATATATATATGTAAGCAAAATAAAATAAATGAAGCATATCAAAAAAGCAAAAAAGAAAAATAAAATAAGGTGTTTTATCAATTGAAAATATTATTAATAAATTGCTAGATTTGTTAGAAAAATATTGATATTGAACTAGTATTTTAATTATTAAAAACAAAAAAAAAATGTATATATAACTTTTTAATCATTCGAAAATTGATTTTATACAAATTACTTCTCTATAATGATATTGACATGGTTCATTAAATTTGCAAAAAGATATCATAGAAAAAAAAAAGAGAAAGAAATTTCCTTATTCTTCTTTGTATGCATTTTGTTTTTGTTCAATACATTCTCAAATTCAAACTTTATACAATAGAAAAATAATGTTATGTTTTAAAATATGTCATGTGACATTACCCATCTATGAACTTGTCATATACTTTGTTGTAATCGTAGGTAAAAAATGACCACATTGTGGAGTACATAAAATCGTATTTTTAAAAAACGTAACCATTTTTTTTTTAATCAATTAGTTATTTTACAAAATCGGATTATGACATGTGAGATACGAAAAAAAAAGATGAGAATGAAAGTGACATATCATTTAATATAATATTTACTTGGTCAATATAATATGAAAAAGGTAGAAGAGCAATTTTTTTTTGATCATAATTATTTTTATTGATTAGCCCTTTCAGGATAGGGCTCTGTTTTTTTTTTGCGACGTAAAATTTCTATTTCTAATCAGAACTATTAATATGTCAAAGAGTAGTCTAATATTTGTAGAATATAAAACAATTATAGATATATTTCCAATTTTTAATCGAATTAAAATATGAATTTAGTAAAACCAATCGTTTTGTTTATTTAAAAGTTATAAGTTTATATATGATTTTTTTATTTAGATTAATAATCGTAATAATGAATTATTAAATAGTGATGCAACAATATCAACAAAACCATCATTTATATTTGAAGATGTATCCGACGAAGATATTGATGGTGATCAAACACAAGATGAACTTGTACCTAGTCCATCAGAATATGATGAATATTCAGGTTTATCTGATGATCTTGATCTTGGTATACAAGATAATAATGATGAAGAAGAAGAAGAAGAAGAAGAAATGAATGAAAGTGATAATGATGTAAGAAAATTTTCTTTTTTTATTAATTAATTAAATTATTTATTTTTTTTTTTTAATGATTATTTAAGATGAACTTCGATGAAAATGGTCATGTGAATGGAGATGATAACGAAAGTGATGATGATGATAATTCATCATAGTTGTTAGTTTATTCTGTTTTTGTTTTTGTTTTTTTGTATTATCAACATTCTGTTTCAAAAAAGAAAAAAAACAAACAAGCAAAGGCACTCTTTCACACTAAAAAATAACATTCACATTTATAACGAAATAACAATCTATATAAAAAAAAAAGAAAGAAAGATTTCGTTCATATAACTACATATTGAAAAGAAAAACAAAATGTTTATTTATGTCGCGTTGTCATAGTACGAACCTAAAATGAAAACAAAAATAAAAACGAAAAAAAAATTTTTTATTGATTGTTTCATACAACTGTAAATAATCCACTAGCAACTTGTGCTGTATCTGATAGAGATTGTGAAACCTAAAATTATATTTAATAATAAGATTTTCTTTTTCAATATGAAATTATTACCGAAGATCGAACAGTACCCATTGTTTCAAAATCACCTAAATGTCGTTCTATAAAATTCATTGATTCTATTTTATTTGGTGATTTATCTTGTAACATATAAATTTCAGCACTACGATATATAGTTGCTATTGAAATTCGTTTTGTATACCATTTCATCTAATTTATAAAGAAGAAATAAATATAAATTATTGTTTGTTTTTTATATGATTTACATCAGTTGATGTATCACCAATACTAAGCCAAGCTTGATTGGCTAAATCTAATAAACTTTTCCAAGCACGTTTTGCATTTAGTGGTAAACCTTTTTGAGCTAATGCCTATTAACAAAAATATGATTTTCAAAAAACAAAAAATAAATATATTTATTTTCCAGGTTAATACACTTGATATTCGTCATGATATGTATAAGTAACAAGAAAAATATGTAAAATACGTCATAAGGACATAAACAAATAAAAAAAAATAAGATACATATGTCATGTATTCATAAAATGATTCGTCATATTATATTTGTTAATATCTGAAGAGTTAATGCGTCATGATTTTTATATGTATATTATATAAAAAGTTCAAAAATCTTGTTGAATATCTTTTTCATAACAAATAACTCAATTTAGTTTATGTATTAGAAAGAAAAATAATAATCATACTTGTTCCCAAACATCAGCATATGGTATAACAAGATTTAATCGATATTTCAATCCTTCAATAAGTAGACGAGTTCCTTCAATATGATCTCTAGTAAATAAAAGCAAAAAAAAAAACATTAATTATAATATTTTCTTTTTTGTTATTCTATGACTTTTTAGCTAATTCATTCATATAATTTGTCATTTTAGTATTTGAATCACGCATAAAATAATCAACAAGATCATAACCATTATAAAATAAACCTTCGGCTGTATCAGGTTGATTACATTTTTTTATACCTATATCAATAACAAATTGATATATAAGTAAATATAAACAAAAAAAAGGGACAAACCAGCATGAATTGCTTCCATTGTCCATCCTTTTTCGTGAACAAAATTTAGTGATTCATGTAATATACGATTACGCATTTCAATTTCACGTTGAACAAGAATTTCATTTGACTCACTATTAAAATAATGTATAGAGATTTTTGAATTTTATATAATAATAGAGTGAAATCCGTGGGATTTCTACCACAATGTAAAAAAAGAAATTTTGTTTTTTGATTTTGATATTCGAGTTAGACGTAACATCGTCGAAAACGGTTAGAGATAATAGTAAAAATATTTTTTGGTACATAAAGTTTGAAGATTCAGATCATTTTTTAGGAACAATTCAATGTATTTGTAATTCGATATGATGACGGTCTCAACTACGTTGGAAAATGATGAAAATTTCAATGTTTGTAGAGCTTTGAATTCTAGGTATTTTGATAAAAATAAAATTTCCGAAAAACTTTTTATTTTGTATAAAATAGATTCAAAATACTATAAGTAGTAAAGAAAACTAAACAACAATTTATCAAAATTTTGCAAAAAAAAAATCGTTTTTGGTTTTTCACAAAAGCTTTTCGGAAATTTTTTTAATCAAAATGCTTAGAATTCAAAGTTCTACAAATGTTGAAAATTTCATTATTTTGCAACGTAGTTGAGGTCCTCAACATATTCAATTACAAATACATTGAATTGTTCCTAAAAAAATGATCTGAATCTTCAAACTTTATGTACGAAAAAATGTTTTTACTTTTACTTCTAACCATTTTTGACGATGTTACGCTTAACTAGAATATCAAAATCGAAAAAAAAAACTTCTTCCACCAAAGTGGTAGAAATCTCACGGATTCACTCAATACATTTAACTTGCGTCGTATTATTTTTTCTTTTAATATAAAATAAATCTTCGTTTGGATTAGTTATTGTTTCTCCATATGTATCTTGTCCACCAGATACTTTTAATTGATTTATTGTTTCATATTTTATTTTATTATTTTTTGTTGATATAGATGACGGAAGATCTACAGTTATGGAAGATGATTCTGAATATGTATTAGTTGAAGAAATTTTTGGTGCAAAATTAGCTTCGGTTGTTGTTGTTTGAGGTGTATTTTGTGGAATTTCTTTAACTGTTGAAATAGAAGCTGTTTCATCTGATTTTACAGGTGTTATATCTGATTGTGAAATGAATGTTTTAAATGGATCAGTTATATTTAATTCACCTTGTGTTACATGAATTTTTGTTTCATAAATATTCTTATTATCTTTTATTGATGTTGAAATAAATCTTTTTGAATTATCATCCCTAAGAAAAGAAATATATATATGATATAATTAATATTTTTTTAAATTTAATTTACGAAATATTTTCATTATTTGATATTATTGTATTGTTTGTAATAGTTTTTGATGATTGTTTACTTTTAATTTCATTTGAATTATTACTTTCAATTGTTAGAAATCGTTTAGATAGTAAATTATTTATATTATTAAATAAATTTTCTTTTATATATAATAATTTATTATTAATAATAATAATTCGAGATTTTTCACCTGAAAAATTTATTATTTAATATTAGTTAAATTTTATAGTAAAAAACAAATGAATACAAACGGTAAATATATATTAATCGTTGCATTGATTTAGAATAATATGATTATATAGGTAAAATAAAAAATAATAATGTACATTCCATACAGTTTATTAATATTTATGTCGCTATGATCAATGTCAATAAAATAATAATCAAAAGTTTGAAATAGATTAATTGAATATAGAAATTTTCTAATTCTAAAAAAAACAAAAAAAAAATTTCAATACGTTTTTTTTCTTCATATATTTAAAAAGTGAGTTGTTTGAATTATTTTATTATTGGTGGATAAAAATAACCACTATCAGAGAAAATTTTTTTGACACTTTGTACTTATGTTCTTAGTTTATCTAAATAACATATTTAGTTTTTTTTTTTTTTGTTTCATGGCATCAATAACAAAAGACAATGAATTACGTTCATTTGATGTACCTGAAATAGCACGTCATCCTGGTGGTTATACTATCTATAAAATTGTTTTACAAATTACACCAAAAGAAATTACTGAGAATAGTTATCAAGTACGTTTATATATCATTTTACAAATTAATGACTTGAGAAAGAGTACTCTTCTTTTTGAATTGAAAAAAATGTTGAATATCTTGAAAAATGTTCAAAAAAAAGAAAGAAAGGCTTTGTCATGTCTCTGCATTCTATACATTTATCGTAATTTATAGATTATGATGTCTTTTATAAAATTTTTATTATAAAAATATTTGAATTCCTATTGATAATTTATCAGAAAATTTAAGAAAATTTTTATTTAATTCGAGAAATAAAAATTTTTTATTTATATATAAAAATAATTGCTAAACGTAGTAGACTAATTTTACTATTCTTTCTAGTTGGTCTATTGGAAACGTTATTCTGATATTCGAAAATTATATGATATTCTTCATCATTATCATCAAGCTATTTATCGTCCAGAGAAATTTCCAAATTTTCCGAACAAATCATCATATATGGGTATTTATATATATATGTTAACGTACAAACTAAGTTTATATTTAATTTCTAATGAAACAATAGCATTTCAATTCATACAATCATCATGATTCGAATCGTTATTGAATTCGTTTTTATTGAGGATTTTATGAAGTGAAATGTTCAGTTGCAACATTATTTATTAGTAAGAATTCAAGTGAAATAGCAATCTACAGGTTAATTTAACCCTTTGGTTACGAATATTTTTCTATTAAGAAAAAAAAAATTTTTGGTTTTTATGAAAAAGCTTGAAATATGACGTGGTAATTCTGATAATATGAAAGCAGCTTTAGAACCTGACTAAGCAATGAGCCCTGTAGGGTAATGCTACTCTACTCTATCCTGGGATGGCTTTCGAGGCAACACCTCAGGAGTAAAAGGTTTTGCTTCAGGAACAAACATCTTCTGCTTTATGTGTGAAGAAATTTTGTCTCAATAGAATCCTGTAGCGCACTGCAGTACGACCCCTCAAGCATAGGCTAGAAAAATGTTATTGTATAGAATACAGTATGAAAAGTCATACTCCTACAGAACTCTACTCAAGCGTAACAGTGAAAACTGTAACAGAAGTAGTCTCAGCAAAAGTCCAACACGCATATATGCGGGCCCTGTAATCAAAAGGTTAAGTTTTAACGTTAATTATCATTTCACAATAGATGCGTTCAAAATCTTGTATATGTTACTAAACATAATCTCAGTTTGAATGTTAACATATTTAGAACGTTTTAATCCAACTATTATTGAAGAACGACGTCTAGCTACGAAAGAATTTCTTAATTTTGTTTTAAAATATTTATATTTACGTACACATGATGCTTATTTAAAGTTCTTTCAGGTAATAATAATTAATCATTATTTGTTTGTTTTGTATTTTATTCTATTAACTACTAATTATAATGATACAGTTTAGAATGGTGAAAAAGTTGTATTACCTGATGTTGAAGCAGATATATTAAAACCAGAATTAATCATACCACAACCATCACATATATCAATTCCAATGACACCAATAACTATGCCATCGATTTCAATAAATAAAACTACAGATGAACTTTTATTCAATGTTGATGAAAATGAAGTAATAGAACATGTAAATAATCCATCTACTAGAATACTTGATGAACTTAATGATCTTCATTTTGAACAAAATGATAATAATAAAGATGATTTAAATATAATTCAAATTAAACCATCAGGTAAGAGAATTCATTGTAAATTATTGATTTAAAATTTTTGTTTTGTTTAGATTTTATATCATTACCATCTAATACAAATAATAATAATAATTTATCTTAATAAGAACTTAATTATTTTAGTTTTTTATTCGAGAAAGAGAATTGATTTATATTTTTAATCTATTCAATATTTTTTTTGTTTGTTTGTTTATTATTTCGTTGATTTATAATTTAGCAATGAAGATTATAAAATCTTAAATTATTTTTATCAATCTAAGGATAATTTTTTTTTTAATTTTGAATTTATAATATCTAACGAAGGAAGTTTTCCTATTGATAAATTCATTTTCATTGTACATAGAAAACAGTTCATTACTCTTATCGATAGATTTAAAACTATTATTAATTCATTATATCTACACAACTATAAATTAAGAATTCAATCTCTTCTTTAAAATATTCATAACATTCTTCTAAACTTTTTATCTAATAAAGAATTCTGTACAGAAGGGGGAGTATAGACATGTAACTCGAGTAATCTTGTTAAATATGCCTTCTTTCTGGAGCTATATTAACTTATGACTCACGCAAGAAAATATTTTCCTACAAAACTCGTCCATAGTAAGAGAATATCATATACATATATTTGACATTATTTAATAATAGTAACAATGATTTTGAAGGATATATTCGTTGTTTAACTAGTACTTCAAAAACTATACATTTACTAATAAATATTTTTTATAAATCTAGAGAAATCATATATAAATTTTTTTTTTGTTCTTTGATCATGAAGTGGAGTCATCTATTTGTGATCATAGAAAATAATAAGACTGGTTGTTAAAAGAACCAGATGTAAAGACCATAAGATACTTTTGCTTGACGATAAAGTGATGAAGCAAAATTTAAAATTTTATTTACGACGACTTAAATCAATGTCATTACGTCCAGAAATTCATTTTACATCTGTCTTTGAACATTGTTTATTAAATAATAATTTTCAATGTTTTCAAGGAAATCCATTAAATCGTCTTAATCTTCATCGAAAATCACTTCATGATATAGTTCAACATTCACAATCAAGATTTTTACCATTTCGTCAACTTAAAATACTTTTTAATCAAGAAAAAAAACAACCTATTTGGCTTACATATCAATTTTTATTTGAAAATATTAATGAACAAAACTTAACTATTGATCAATGTGAACTTGTTTTACTTGGTATTGGATCTCGATTACTTGCTGATCGTTCATTATCAGTTACAACTACGGAATCAACAATAATTGATAATAAACTTCTTAGTAAATTTCTTTTAGCTTCTGAACCAACACCAGATGAATATATTTATTTTGCTTTATCAATTCCAACAAATTTTCCAGATAATTTACCTGGTACTTATATGGATCTTCGACCATTATTACCTCAATTATCTGTAATTGATGCAGCTGTATGTGGTCAAGGACGTGCTTTACTCGATTGGCATACATCAAATCAATATTGTGGTAAATGTGGTTCAACAACTATTTCACTTGAAGGTGGTACACGTCGTAAATGTACTAAATGTAATCATATAATTTATCCTCGAACAGATCCTGTTATGATAACATTAGTTATTCATATTGATAAAGAACATGTTTTACTTGGACGTAAACCTTCATTTCCTCCATTTATGTATACATGTTTAGCTGGTTTTATTGAACCAGGTGAATCTATACCTGAAGCATGTTCACGTGAAGTTTGGGAAGAAAGTGGAATTGTTATTAATACAAATGAAACACATTATTTTGATTCTCAACCATGGCCATTTTTAGGAGGACAATTAATGATTGGATGTTATACATATGCTATTGATGAAACAATAACATTACATGATTCAGAATTAGAAGATTGTCGATGGTTTTCTCGAAATGAAATTGGTGATATGATACAACGAGGTCGAAATATGAATATTGATAAGAATGATCAAGGTCTTCGTATTCCACCACCTATTGCTATAGCACATCAATTGATTTATAATTGGTATTCAAGAAAAACAAATAATTTTAAGACTTAATGGAACGTTTATAACAAAAAAAACAAAAGAATTAATTGTTGAATGAAATAGGGAGCTTAATTAAAAAACTATTAATATTTTCTTTAAAAAAAACACGATTTTTTCTAAAAATTCTTAAAAAAAATATATTATTAAATCATGAAATGGACATTAGACATAGAAAAATAACACTTTACCATTCACTACAATATCAATTTAAAAATCCGTGTTTTCTTCATTGTTGTGGTGAAAGAAATTTGAGATGTGATGCAGTGACGTGCCCAGAGGGGGGGATTGGGGGGATCGATCCCTCCCTGAAGAAATACGAACACTTGGAGGAGGATACGGGCCGAATTATTTTCGCGTGTCTAAAACCAGTTTCTCTCCACAGTGGTCCTCCCTGGGAACGATCAATCCCCCCCCCGGAAAAAATTCCTGGGCACGCCACTGATGTGATGATAGAAATATAATCGTAATATTTTATGTATTGAAAATCACCTACATTTAATAGATAAAGAAATACTAAAATTCGAACTAGAAAACTCTTGATGTAAAAAGCTGAAAGTTTTGTGCAAGATGTATCTTTGAATGGACTACCTACTGTAAGATTTTTAGAACTTTAACTCATTCTAATAAAAAGTTATGAAGCATTAGAGTTGCCTAAAATGTGAATTTTTACATATATTCGACGACTCAATATTCTAACAGCTCTTTTCTTTGATATGAAAATTTAATTATAAGTAGAACATATTAAGATATATGTTCAGAGAAAATTTCAATTCAATCAGTTGAGCCACTCTTGAGATATAGCCCCATCAAGACTTTCGGAACCACTCATGAACCATTGAGAATTAAATATTTCCTAAAATGGTTGTTAGTGAAATTCATAAAATTCTTTCATTTATTACATAAATTATATAGAGCAAAATTGGACAATCTTGATTTAACAGTTTCCCTTATAGGTACAGTCGTGGCTTATATGGACTGATTCTCATAAATATAGAGTATGAAGAATCTTTCGACAGGCGATGGAGTCATAGGCATAGAAAAATGAAAGCTTACTGTAAGTTCACGTATCGTAAGCTAGGGTATGATCATACACATTTCTCTTTCTATGGGATTGACAGATTAACGCAATGCATGACATTTTTTGAAGTTCGTATGTTTCTTCAAATGCTCGTTTTTGTTATGCAAGTTGCAACTTTTTTCTGATTGCCATTACTGTATTTAATCTAAGTGACATTCAAAAAACTCGTCTTCACGCATGTTTAACTTCTAAATGAAGATTTTATTTAAAAATATTTTAAGCCTACTGTAGAATAAAAACGTTTCGCCTTGTATGAATCATTGTATATTTAAAATTTGTCAAGATTACGATTGGCAACAACAAATGATAAATTTCATCATTTCAGAACTGACAAATACCATTTAATGGAAAAAAGACGATGCGGTTATCGTGTCAACAAATTTATAATAAACAATTCAAATTCGAGTCTCTGTTTCAGTTTTCTTTAGAATCATCTATCTCTATTTACTATTCAATTGAATGGCTCTTGATTAGTTGCTGATTAACATTCAATAAGCTAAATATAAAAAAAACAAATCTATATGTCTAGCTTCTTATAAATACTTACTTTGAACAGCAGAGACACTTTAATTATTCGATAATCACAATAAAAATAGTGTTGAAACATTTTCAACTTTTATCATTACACAAACTTTGAAAGCATGCACTCTCATTGGAGATCTTCACATATGAGCATGATTAATTCATCTGCATAATAAGTTTTAAAAAATCGTTTTTATCTCTTCTGATGTTCTAATAGAGTGCGGTGCAGTGATATCACATGTATTTAGTTAAGAACAAAAGAAGCATTAAACAACACCGCCGTTTCTGGAAAAGTTGTCCAAATTCAATGAAACTTGAACTCATAGTGAAAATAGGCGAAATATATTCATCATAATAAAAATATTGATGTAGCACTTTAATCAACTACGTTTATCATCTATCTTTTTCTACAGACCTTGTAGATACTTATGACGACACCGGTTAAATGTATGGAATTTCTTTGATTATCATTCTCTTTATATCATTGCATCATCATAATAATAGAACTATCAGAAACTATTGACATTATTTATTTATCACATTTCATTTTCATTCTTTCTAATTTTTCTGCAACTATATCTCATAGAGCGTATGAAAGATAATAATATATATCACAACGATCAAAATTCGAATTTTGATTGTAGCACCTTGCTCCATCGCTGTCTATAAGGTGAATACTATTCGTTTTGTACTTCAACACCTTGATAGAGTATACAAACAGAAAGGGATAGTGTTTTATGATAATTTCAAGTTCGGATTCATTGTTAAAGGAGTTGAATATATTGGTACGTCTAGTGATGATGATGAAGACTTAAAATTTAGTCTCAATTCGACAAATACTGATCCCAAATGGGAGCGTCTTTTCTCTTTCTTTTAATCCTTGGTATTTATATTCGTATCTCATGACAGAAGCAACGAAAATGGCTGAAACCTTGAGAATAAGCGAGTATCATTAAGAACATTATCGATATACAAAGTTTCAAATCAAAACTCAAAAGTCAACTTTCAACATGATCTGAGAAGGACTACGGGATTTTGTTTAAAAAAACCCAGTAGCGAATGTATTTTTCAAAAAATCTTACGAGGAAAAGAAGTTAGATGAACACAGATAATCAATATCAACTACTAAGGATAACTACACAAAATATCAAGTTTTTTAACTATGATAATCCGAGAGATTGTGTCTGGTCATCTTTTTCCGCTCACGGTATGCCATGCCTCTGTATCATTTGTCACTCTATTATTTCTGACCCTTATGTCTTCGATATTTTTGCTGCTGACGTTTATTTTGTTCTGAATTTGCTGCAAAATCCAATTTTCCATGAATTCTCAAAATCCATAAGGATTAGCTGTGCTTACAAACACTAACACTTACACCTGCATCTGCACATCTTTCAAACTTTGGTAGAACAAGACGAGTATGCAGCACATTGAGGTGTAGATGTGTCATTGGTGTGAGTCTTTTATTTACCAAGATCCACACTTTTTGAATGTGGGTGTTCATCGTTACTGTATTCACACCAATACACATTCACACTTCTCTTGTCTTTTTATCGAAATCTGAATTGAATATATTTATAGTGAAGATTTAGGCATCAATATACTATACTATTCAATACACCCGAAGTACTTTCAATTCAATCAACAAAGAATAATCAATTTGGAGAACAAATTCTTAGATATGAATATTATGGGAATGTGATAAATGGGTTCTACGATAATTAGTCACCAACTAGAATTGATCACATGTGTAACAGAAGCATGGTTCCTATGTCAGTTCTCACTAACTTAAATTGACAGACAGATTCGTAGGTGATCTAGTCGATAAATGTTAATCGAGTGTTGACATTCACATTTTGAATTTATCGAAATTTAAATGCTCCAAAACAAGGAAATATTATAGAGGATTACAGGAAATTTTTAAAGTAAGTACTACTTACTCATGCGTAAGACTTTATACTTAATTAGAAGAGTTCACTATACATTCCTATTTATATTCATATCTAATGTTTCTTATTCTTATATAGATTGTTAATTATTTTCTGAGTTTATGTAAGTTATTTCTCCATAATACTAAGAAAATTTTTATAGCCGACTTTATTTTTCAGTAGTGCGACTGATTGTCACAACACCGAGTTGGTCCTACGATTAATTGTCATAGATCCAAATGTTATGTTGTATCATAAAAATGTCTTTAAGACTCTTATTGTTCTTAAATACAAAACACAATAATTTAAAACGTATTTAATTAATTCAAAAGTTTAATTTTAATTTTCAAAAATAATATTAACTCTTCACTTAAATAACTAGCATTTATTTATTAAAAGAAAAAAAAAAGAAGAAGTATTGAAAGTACTATGAATTTAACTTCGACATATCTTTCATAAACATTATTCGAACAATTTATACATATTCATATTAAAGCAATGCTATCTAGAATAAATAGTTTTATATGTAATTAAGATGAGATATATTGACTTTTCTATATTAAACAATATTTCGACATTCCATATTATAATCGTTCTCGAAAATTATAAATACATTCATATAATAGGACAGAATAAACATAGTTTTTATTATCATTCCTATAATTATATTTTATTGTTGTCTTATTAATATAAATGCTTATTAAAAAGAAATGAATTTGTTAAATAAGCATGACAAAAAATAATATTCGTATACTACAAGTATGTTTTCTATATAATAAATCAATTATTTATTGACAGTGTCAATTAATTAATGAGCTATGTTTTGCGTAACTAGTTATGACGCTGGAACTGCAAAACGTTCTAATCGAGCTTGTTCACCACTATTCGTTTGAATGATTAAATGTTGTTCACCTTCAACATGTAAACTTTGAAAATTAGCGATTAAATCATGTATGAACTCTTCTTTTTTCGTCTCTTCGGGTGCACCCACCATCAATGTTGAACCAATACAAGCACGTTTCCATTCATTATTTTCTGAATTATATTCCAAACTACAATTTATTGAATTAATTACGGATGCATGAAGACGATAAATATTTGGATTTTCACTCGTTATTTTAAATACACAACCAACACATTCTGGATGCGGTGGATAATTAATTATTTTCCAATTACCATCGATACCAGTAACTTTCGACGACATGATCATCAAATTTTGATTCAAAGCTGATCACCTAATAAATCTAGGAAGTAAATAAAATGAGAGTGTTTTTTTTTCTTGTTCTACAATATATTTTTTCTCTCTATTTTCATAAGAGAAAAATATGAATACCTTTGTGTCATCACTGATAAAAAGTGAGATAGAAAAAAAAGTAATCAATAGCTGTCACATTAATTACTGATTGCATGTTTCGTTTCTATAGAAGAAACAACGAAAAACGACTAGGACATCTAATTATTTTGAAGTGACTCTCTTAAAGAACAACAACAACAACATAAACACTGATTTCATTCGTTAGCATTATATAATCAAAATAACATAATGTGCATCAGTAGCTTTTCAAGGACAATTTTATACATTTCTCGACTATCGATGGTTTGAAAGAAAAAACAACAGTCATTATGTCAGAATACGACATATCGATCATTTTCTACTCTTCAAGGTGTAAGACATTGAGCCTAATGAAGCAAAAATTTGTAAAAAAAAAATATTTAACCGAAATTGCTTGACATATCGAGGAAACTGCATTAGATTCGAAATTTCGATTACAGCTTGATGATAAAAATATCCTGAACGAGCCCTATCGAATCAACAGTAAAGCGAATATAACTAGTATAGAGGCAAGCTTGAACGTTAATAAAGGATATGGGTGTGTGGGTGTAGCTGTACCTCAAGAAAAGATTAACATACTCACAGACCTACATCCACAACAACACGTACACCCACACCTTATTGCACATTGCATAGAAATAAATATAGAAGTACAAACTATTTATGAACTGAATTTCTTTGTGCAAACAAGAGTTTTGTTTCTTGTTGATAATCAATTCTTTTGTGCTCTTTATCTTGAATGTTTTACTGTCATCAGATGCAGTCCTTCCAAAAAGATTGTGTAGGTAAAAAGTATTCAAAAAGAAAAACGAAATAAAAACAAGATGCAAAGATAGAGATCGACATATTGCCATAATGCAAAGATAAGAAAAGAGTTATTTGATAAACAACACACTTGCCTGACTTACACAACATTCGACCAAGTTGGAAGAAACCATCAGTAAAATTTACTAAGTATGGTTGGTTTTCATTATTTGATTTTAATGAACACTTTATTAGGAAAATTTCTAAGACTAGAGAAAGTATTTTGAATATCATAAAAACAGTAATAGAGCAATCCAAAAATAATGAGATTTCGGACGAAAAAAAAACACAGAAACAAGCTAATTCAAGATTTTATTTCATCAAACATTCAAAGTAGTTCCTCTATCTATTTACACAGAATTGAATTTGTTCGAGTCATCAGTTCTTTCGAGAAACAGTCTATTCAGTTCTACGAAGACATAACATGTAAAATTTATATAGGTTTTGGAGTTTCTATTAGTAACAATTCAAATCTTAGTCTATAATGTTACATTTAATAATTTAACCCTCTGGGGACAGTTGGCCCCTGAAGAGGCCATGGTGATTCTCTGGTATTTCAAAACACACAGATTTCTATATGAGATTAGTTTTTGTTAAAGCATTTATCAGAGAGTTTTTTGGTATAATTTGGATTGTAATTAGGTTATTTTATTCAGATATCCAGTAATGAATAAGAAATATAACAAAACTGACTTTCAGAGAAAAAACTCTATAATCTAGAATCCTTGTCAGCAACGTTACTCTCTATATAGGGACATGTTAGATGATGTTCTACATGCGTATTCATTTTTCTTCTTCCCTTTTCTCTTCTTGAGGGTGTGAGTGTGGGTGGGTGTCAGTTTGAATCTTCGCTTCACCCACATCTACATCCACCCACACCCTTGTTTGATTTATAATGAAATATACAGTAAAAAACCCATCCTCAAAGGGTTAAAATTTCGTGATAAAACAGAAAAGTTGCATATTTTCAAGCTATCGGTTGGTGTGTAACAAAAAACTGTAAAGTATGCTTTCGTTAAAAGAAATACATGGTCTTGTAGAGAATGAAGCAATGAGTGTTTTTATAGAAAATATTGTTTCGAAGTGACGAGAATATATTCAGATATTGATAAAACTGCTAGGACTGTCATTCATCCTACCTCATCCCTTTTGTTTTTTCGTCAATAATGACAACTGAGAAAATGAAATAGTATATCAAGCATCTTTACTGAGAATTATGATCAAACTGTGGTTGCATTTGGTAGTAATGTATTTCTTCAACGTAAAACCTTCTTTTGTTGTGGGTTGTCGGTCTTGTCTTTATCCACACCCATATCTCACTCCTAGAAGAGAGAAAGAAAAAAATAAGTGAAACTTTGATTCCATCAATGTTGTTTCACCATTTGTTTACATAATTCAATGTTTTTAATTTATTTTTGTTGTGTAGAAGAAATCATTTGAATTTTGTTCGATTCTAGATAAGATACGCATATACATATGGCAACATCTGTGAATGTGAATCGTCGCTTATTGGAAAGTGTTCGGGATGAACCAAAGAAAATGCTGCTTCCCATATCTGGCTATGAGAAAGTCAATGTAAAAACTATTGACGAAGCTTGTGAGCCGATAAAGCATATGTTCGATCACAAGCTACAACAATATATTACTATTGCCAAAATGAATTCAACCGAACCTGAGGATGGGCTCAATTCAGATGAGTCAGCGACCATCCACCTATATACTATAGAATGGGATGTGCACGAAGACAGTCTTTACATGGTATTAAATCGAACTCTTCGTTTGGCTGATCGTATAAAACTTCAACCGTGGTTCAAATATTTAAAGCTGTTCCTTACAGCTTTTTACAAATTGCCGTAAGTACAAGAAAAAAGATTTTACATTTAATGTTTTAATTTTTTTTGTATATTAGACGAAGCGAACACACACTTGTTTGGCGTGGTGTACGGGAGGATCTCAGTGCTCTTTATCCAAAGGATAAAGAATTCGCATGGTGGGCATTCAGCTCTTGCACTGCTTCAATGAGTGCCCTTGAATCACCAAATTATTTGGGAAAATCAGGTGCAAGAACAATGTTCTCCATTCAAACTAACAG